AAGCTTTACATAAGCAGCTTGGCTTGGCTTGCCATAAGCTTAAGCCGAGCCACTTTTATTTCGGCTTGGCTTAGCTCGGCTCATGGCGATAATCGACAATCCAATCCAATCCAAGCTGGCTTGTAAGCCGGCTCGTTTGGCTTACATTTCTTTTTCGAAACGAAATTCCGTCAAGAAACACGTTTCTGGAACGATTCCTTTCGAGCGAAACGTTTCTGAAGGCCTTTTTGTCAAAGAAAATCGTTTTCAGAACGATTTCCTTGAGGGATCGTCTCTGTGGCTTTTCCTTTGATGGAATCACTTCCGGAGGCGTTATCTTTGAAGGAAATCGCTCCCGGAGGGTATCCATTGAAGGGATTGCTTCCGAGGGCTTTTACAAAGAAAGCCGCTTCCGGAGGCGTTTCTCTTGAAGGGAATTGCTTCCGAGGCGCTATTTCCAAAGAAAAACACTACTAAAGGAGTTTTCTTTAAAGGAAATAGTCTCTGTGGCTTATTTCTTAAAGGGAATCACTTCAGTGGTTTTTAAAGAAAACCTAATATTCTCAGATTGAACACGATTCCATCATTTGTACAAGTTTGTTGGAAAGTATCATTTATCTTATAATCATCATAAATCCTGGAATTGAATTGTAAATGTTCGGTTTTTAGATTCTTGGAGGTCACTTCTTTGGCAAAAGAGTTCACTCCTTCGGCAAAGTAAATGATGACATTTTCCAACTCGGAGTAATAAACATCAAAATTCGTAAATATTAGTTGACTACGAATAACACAGTCCTCTTCGTGTAAAAGTTGGAATCTTTTGCCTTTTGGCGTCGGACTTCCGTTACGTAGAACGATAACAGAATTATTGCATAAAAATTTGTAAAGATCTTGGACATGTTTTGCATAAATCTACATCACCAAACATCAAAAAAAAAGTTTTTTTTTCGTGGTTGGGAAATTATTTATTCAACAAACTTGTTTGAAGCTGGTTATAGTTACACGGGAAATATAAATTTAAAAAGTTATTGTTCTATAAATAACTTTGATACCTTTTTGGTTAAATTATGTAATAACTAAATGATCTCATCTAAAAAAGCATTGTTTTATTAACATAACAATAAATAGAAAAGATCATTGTCAGCAAGCACAGCATCTCCTTAATTGTTAATTGTTTACAAAGAAAATAATAATCGTCACGTCATTTTTTTTTTTTTTTTTCGAGGAGTTCATTTGATTAAAATATATTCATACCATTACATTAAATTATGTAAAAATTCATACAACTAAATGATAAGTAGCTATTGATTTTTCAGAACGATCAATCGAACTGCTTATGCGCACGAGACCAAATGATCTTTACCTAATTACATTAGGTAATCATGTCTAGAGAAAAAGTTTATTAGGGAATTTTATGTTCACTCGAAAAAGAAAATTAAAAATTAAAAAAAATGCCCAATCTGTAAAAAAAAAAAAGATGTTAAAGAAATTCTGAATTAATTGAAGCTTTACCGAAGTTATAATTCAAAAGGAAAAATTAAAATTAAAAATTAAAAAATTAAAATAAAATTATAATAGATCAAATCAATTACAAGAAACTTAATCCAAAAAAAAATCAGATTTTATAAATGAATTTACCTTTTCTTTTTATTATTTTCAATCTAATCTAAAATTTATTAAAAATCTTTTCTTTTTCCTTTTTATATTTTATTTGAATAAATAAATAATTATTGAATAATAAACTTGATGATATTTATTATTATATTTATTCGCATATTTTTTACATATTTTATTATTTTCTACTTTTATTAAAAAGATTTATTTTTTTTTCATATGTCTAATTGGAAGTATTGGAGTACAATAAGTAACATCTAATTATTTGAATTAAAATATTTGTTATGTGAAAGTATACTATCATTATACTTCTGTTACTCTCTTTTATAATCAATAGAACTCTTATACTTACTTCTGAGGCAATAGCTTGAAAAATTTAGCTTCAAGTGATTTCATTAATATTCTATGTTTAAATAACGATATTACTATTTTAAATATTTATTATCCATTAAGCTGATTCGTGTAGAAAAGTTTGATATGGATGGTTTGCTATTAATCAAGTTAAGAATACATTTGATTTGTGAAATTTAATAGCAAACCACCCGTTAATAATGGTTCACTCGGGAAGAAATGTTCGCTACTGCAATATTTGTCAGTGACGTGAAACAACGAAACGAACAAATATATTTACTGCATATCAGGAATTTTTATTAGTTTAAAATTATTTAATTACATGATTTTCGCATTTTGTAATTAAAAATAACCAAATAAGTCTAGCAATTCTTACAATAGCAAAACCGATATATCTCTATCTATTCCATTCCTTTAAACCAGATGCAGTCGGTCTTTCAGCAGGATTTTGACGTAATAATCACGAAATTTTCTAGCACTTTCAGAAGCTGGATACGAATTCTACAATCATCAAAAAGGTTTCCAATCATTCAGATATCACCTGATACTTGACATAAATCCTCTCTACCTCTATATTCCGGAGCTGTAATATTTAATGTAGTATAACAATTAATTAATAAATTTAATTTACGATCAAAAAGTTAGTTCATTAATCTATCATTATTATACCTTAGGTTATCTCTTCCAATAGGAGCAGCTTCTTCGAAGTCTATTAATATCCAACCATCATTTGTGAGTTGTCCCAGTGAATGTCCCGATGAACAATTCTATTTGCATGAAGGTTATTCACAACATTAAGCACATCCCATATGGCGTCTCTCAGCTCATTTTCATGTTTAGGAATTGTCAAATATCCAACTGGTGTAAATTTTAACATAAAACTTCGATTGAAGTACCAGATATTTCCCTCCTAAATTTGGAAAATCTTAGTATAAAAATTTTCGAAGAAATCTTTATAATAAGGTCCTCTATCCTTTATATGTACTTTTTTAATGATTTTTTGGGGGTTATAGTGATGGTGGTATCATTTTTTCGTCGTATACTTCAAATAATTTTATCTTTGGAACTTGTAAATACTGTTCGCAATTCCAAGTCTGAATAATCCGAACAAAATTGAATTGATTATATATTTAATCGATTTTTAGTTCCAAGTTCTATGATGTCGCCAATTTTCACACGTTCTGGTTTATAATTTCCGGGATAATAATAATAAAATTGCAAGGTTGTACCAGCTGCCGCAAAAGCCATGACAAATGGCAAGGCGAGAGTATTCCAATAGTCACAGTATCCATCTAATTGTGTTTCTGCAGCTTCTAACTTAGTGTTAATTCCTTTTGCCTCGCCCATCATTACGAGTACTCTATTATAATATACCGCGCTATCTGGTCGATATCTCTTATTTTCTGTCGTAGTAGTTGAAGATTGGATTGCCTGGTTACGATCCAAACTCATATTACTACAACCACGTTCATATTCTTGGATAAATTCAATGAGAATATTAATATGCGAATCAATGTTTCCCATAGTTATTCCTTCTTTATCATACTCATAACAACCGCAACAATAGCAATTAATCTAGAAAAATAAATAGGACTTGAAAATAAGGATTCAAGCACATTAAGATCAACAACTAAATCGGGGAGACATGCAATTTAAGTAGTAATAGTTTGGAAAGCAACTGTTCAACATTATCACGACTAACTTCCTCATTGAAGGGACGCAAGAGCTCATTAAAAAATTTTGTTGTATTATCTAATATAGAATTATATGTCAAATAATCAATTGAGGAAAAATAAGATTTTAGTTGTTAACCATTAAAGCTTAATCAAAGTTACATCTAGAACTAATATATCTTACCTACGAACTTTATCCTATTGTTTGCAAATTCAGTTGGCAGTCGTATAATAATACGAATATTCATATTATTGGGTATTTCATCAAAAAAAATGTAGTCTTCATCCTCTTTAAAATATGATTCAACCATTCTTACTGGAAGCAACTCCTGTTGATTTTTGATATTATCCGCAAGTATTTTACTTCCCGGATCTGTGTCATCATTAACAGGAATATCCACCTTAAATAGAATCAGTTTATATGCACCTTCAAAGTCATTGCTTATTTCCTTCCAAATGTCTTTCCTGAGGTCTGAAACAGTCTTGTATTTATTGATTCTAACCAAAAAAGCGTTCCTAATAGCGTCCCCTAGAATGAGACAAAATAACATGATGTCGTTATGTTTGAAAGAAAAGATTAAGAATGAGATTTGGAAAGTGTGCTACTGACACAAAGGAGTTAAAAATTTGAGAATTAAAATTTCGAGCGTTATATATAGTATATACTGTCATAACAAAACAGCGTATTACTTATTTTTATAAATACCTTTTTGCATACATTATAGTTCAATAGATTCTTTTAATCTCCGAATCACGAGCAAAATTAATATTGATAAAAACTAAAAAAAATTACGTAAACGATAATGTTTCAAAATTATTTTTTTTTTTACAGAACAAGTTTAAATTGAACATATGAATTTTCTTATTCATTATATAAATTAGCGAGCTTATTTGGGAGGTTTGCTATTAAAATCGAGTTACGAACATAGTAAATCATATGATCCGTAATGTGATTTTAATAGCTTACCTCCCATATTACTGAAAAAATTAACCTATTCACATTTTCTAGGAAAAAGAAAATTTAATTAAGAACTATCAAATACAATTCAATTGAAATCATTGTGATTACTGGAATTACGCACGCTATACTGTTCAAGCGGATATGATCTAGAATAAATAAGGAGGATTATATCTATTTTTCATAATTAAATTCTTTGTTAAAAAAAATTTGGGTAAAAGTACATTAATTATCAAATCCAGGATATTATTAATATTAAGTTCTTATCATTGAATTAAACTCTAAGGATAAGTAATGAAATCAGACTATAAAAAATCAACAAATTAAAGCGAATAGGAAGTAAATATTTATTCAGAATCAGACCAGTCGAAAATAAGATAAAATAAAAAAAACAAAATAAAATACAATAGAAGAAAATAATTTAAAATAGTAAGGAATTACAGGATTAAATAATAAGTAATAATACAAGAAATAAAAAATAAATTCAACTACATTTTTTGGCAATTTTATCAAAAAGATCATTGCATAAATCTTTTACGTTTGTCAAGATTATGCCTTGCTCCCGTCCGGCTTTCTTTGCTTCAGATATATATCCAGAGGGCGCCACCACAATACTAATTTTACCACAGTTTTCACGTTTGGAGAGCATCCCTGCAAGCTCATCTACAACGTTACGACCTAAATGCATTTTATTTTTTTAATAATACATGTACTTTCGATATAATACCTATTTTATTGGCCCAATTCTTACATTGGATTGCAAATTCGTGACTTGCAGCCTCTTCAGGCCCACTAAAAAATAATAACATGAAAAAAATGAGTACGTGCACCATTATCATTGAGAATTAGAAGAACGTTCAGAGTCGTTTGCAACTGAGACCACGAAGTGCTTTCATTCTTAATTACTGTACGTGCATCGAAATCCTTTTAGGAATGATGTGTGAAGAACATCAGAAATAGGGAATAAAGTCACGGTCAAAACTGTGGCCACAAAGAGCTTTCGATTTCCTATTTTACACAAAGTGGCAGCACATAGCGACTCGACAAATAGTTAAGTGAGATACTCACCCATTTTTATTATTTTTGACGCCTACAGCATCCAATCTATCGGGAGTTTTGTCTTCTAGTTCCTTTCCTTTTTTGAAATTGTTCGTTGTATTTGTTATGGTTAACAAATAGAAATGAGTTGTTTGAAATTTTTTTTTACGGCTAGTCGAATCCGAGTCGAACAATGATCAAGTTTCAAGTCGAATCGGTTCTGTAATTATTAACGGGTTCCAGTTCGAATATGCCTTAAACTTGACTCGACCCGACCCTTACGGAGCACTAGTTATGATGTTGATAGACATTTTCGTGTTAAATGTAGAAGGTATCTATCAATACTAATGCTCCAATTAGAGATTTAAAAATTAACTGTGATAAAAAAATTTAAAGTTTAATTAACAATTATTACAATTATAATCTTTACACATATGTTTTATACGTTTTATATTTGGATGCAGACCACCACAATTACGAGAATATTTATCACTTAACGAAGTTCCTCATCTCGTTGAGCAAATTAACGTGCTCTTCTCGTAATTGTCTCATTGTCATTACATCACCAGCATTTCGACAGGAAGTAGTTCGAAACGCATGGTGGTTTTTCTTCGTTGCGCAGCTTAAAGAGCAGGAACAGCATCAGGATCATCTGCTGGTGGAAGAGGAGGGAGGAAGGAAGGAAGGGAAGGGAAGGGAGGGAGAATTACAATTGTTTTTTTTTAAAGCAACTGGAAAATAATTTTTGTAAAATAATAATTCATAAATGTTAAAAAAACAAACCATTTCACTCTTTCCTTATTCGCTCAAAAAACGAAAATATACTTTAGAAGTTTCCAAACCTTTATCTTTTTTCTTTTTCTACTTAAAATGCTTTTTTATTAGTTTGAGTGAAAGTAAAGAGAGAAAAGGTTTTAAAATTTCTCATGGTGATCTTTTTAATTAAATCGAACTTAACTTTTTAGAATAAACCATTACGTGACATATCATTACTCTAACAATCGAACTTTATGGAATATTTTATAATAAAGCAATAGTCATATCGACATCTATTTATTTAACCAAAAAAAAAAAAAAATGGATTCTTTGGAACGCTCATGCCAAAATTTCCTGGTTTCAAAAGAATTAGACATTACTACAGTATTTTAAAAACTCGACATAAGATTTAAAGCGTGGCGTAGCAATTTTCTTAAATACCAACCAATTTTCATCAATAACGATTCGATATTTCTTTTACTCTAAATTTTGGTTTTTTTATTTTTTATTTATTTTTTTTTTGATTTTTTGGAAGATAAAGGTAATTCAATTGGTTTCTTTTTAATCATTCTTTTTTGGGGTTCGAATGATTAATTAACATAGGCAAGTGTTTTCTCATTGTTTCGATTTTTTTTTCTTATAATGCTAATGTCTCCTCTTTCGGGTTCGATTATTTCCATTGTGTCCATCGATTGATTTATAGTAGATTTTTCATTAATGGTATTATTTTCTACTTTTGCTTAAGCCCGCGATATTTCTTTTTTCTCTTTATTTTCGGATAAGTATATTTTCTTAAAGCACGCTGCGATCGAACATTTTCATCTATCCGCCCTTTAGCTTGAATGAACTTTTTTTTTTTTAGGTACTTCTTTCGTTTTAATTTGATTCTGGAAGTAGATAAGGCTATTTCTTTAATTATCTTAACTTGTATTTTATTTTATGGGTTTAATCGCTTCGAGATGAAGCGATCGAATAATACTTGACACCAGGGTGATGGTGGATGTTAAATACGCATCAAGACTTCTTAACGCATTTATAGTGCCACTAAAAATTGATACGATTTTTTAATTCGATTTTCGTTAAATTCGATTTTGGTAGAAATAATTCAAATCCTTATTTAAAGATATAATATGTTATCGCATGGGTTAATTAAGTAAACAAAACGAGAAAAGAGTATGAATAATTATAAAGTTGACAATTTCTTTCGGCCTTGCATTTGTAAGATTAGCCCTTGCTAATAAAAAATCGTTAGTGGAACTCATCATTGATGTCGAACTGCAACCAGAAATTCCATAAGGTACGTCGTTAATGATTCTTTTAAAATTTATCAATCAATTATCGCATTGCAATTATTTTAACATCAATTTTTACGATTATTTGTCTCACCAACCTGGGATATCGCTAATGCTTCTTTTGTCATTATGGTAGAACAGCGGATCAATACGTGTTGAACGATTGGAATTAATATAATATCGCTATTTTTTCAGGTAAAGTGACTATTTAATTATTAGCTGAAATGGTTTATATTATGGTTTTTTATTTAAACTTTCATTTTATTATTTTAGAATCATTTGTAAAGATTTATGATTCCTCAGGAATCATTCCATATAGAGGTAGCACTAAATGTAGAATTAAAACATTTCGAATGAATTATTCATGTTTTGTGTCGGGTGCCTAAATAATAAAAATTTTAAAAACAAATACGAAATTTTCTTCGTTAATTTTAATATTGATAAACCAAAATATAATGCATCACAAATTTTCTTTGATGACATTATTCCCGTTAAAATCAACCGATAAATTTATTAAATTAGTGAAATTTATAAATTTAAGCGTCAATATATATAAATTACTTTTTTCAAATACAGGTTACGTAATTATTAGTATTGACACGTGTCGATCATTTTTAATTATTTCCGAATTTTTTGAATACCACTTTATAGGAACTTTTGATGCAATTATCTCTAAGCTCCCAAAAACCATATATTATATGTGATTTACCTAATTAACGGATTGATTAGAAGATCAAGCGAGTATATGTAGAATATTGTAATTTGAAAGGGATTTTAAACTCCGATTTAAATTACTATTTATAGATAGAAATTTTTTTAATTTGAACTTTAATGTTAATGATCTCTATATAACTTCTTTCCCGCGAAATATATTATTAATCAAACTCTTTAAACTGCTTTCTAAAAAAAAAGATTGCTAAAATGACGAGAGGGTATTCATTAGATCAAGGTTTTAGATTATTAATCAATAACCCAAAATATAGTGATATAGAGATCGTATGCAAGGATGAAAAGAAATTACATGGTTGTAGAGCGAATTTAGCTGCAAGATCCGAAGTATTTGACAGATTACTTTATAGTAGAGTAGGGGAAAGTTATGAGAAACAATTTCTTTCTCAAAGATTAATTCTTCAGGAATGGAAATTATAATGGAATACGTTTACACAGGAGTAGTTAAAGAGGAATCTTTAACCAAAGAAAATATCGCTGAAGCTTTTATTGCTGCAGACTACTTTCAATTACCGGACCTTCAGGGATTTTATTATGAAGACTGTTAAAAATACTTTAGAAAAGAATTGCAATGATAATTATTCCCCGGAATTGTTATCTGTAATTCTTGATACAATGTCATTGAAAGAAGATAATATGTTTAGAAATCTATAAGTTGAAGCAGTTTCAATTATTCCGTTAAATACCATTGAATTTGACCGGTTATCTAGTACAGCAATTTGGGTCCTTTTATCTTGCACTTATGAAAAGGACAAACCCTTTATAACTCCAGAATATGAAGTGTTTCGATATAGTGTTATTTTAGTTGCAAAAGAGATTTCTAACGATGCAACAATATCCCTTTTAAACCGGTTACCAACTTTAGAATTCATAGATAATTTTAAGCAAATTGATAATGAGCTTATCCCGGATAATCAAAAAGTTACTAAAGAATTTATACTTTTGATCATATTTATAGACTTCAAGAGAATTAAAAGCCAAACATTAGCTAATATCATTGAGCCATTAAACATTGTTCCAGTTGAAATGATTTTAAATGTTTATCGACATCAGGCAATGTCATATTTGAATGAAATTCGTGGACATTTACCAGTATCTAACAAAATTGACTTTATTTGGGATGAGTCAGCGTGTGGATCAAATCTTATCATTGATGATAACGGGAAAGTTGTACGAACATCAGTTGCTTGCACTAGTCACCAAAGTGTTAGAGCTAAGACGGCATTTGAAAATCAAGGTAATTTTGAATGGGACGTCATTATTGAGAAACATAATACACACTCTTGAGTTGGAGTGTGTGCGACAGAAAATTTTGATTACGAAAATTTTCAGGTGGTCAACATAGTGGATGGATATTGGGTTCCAATGGTTCAATTTATCATTCTATCGTACAGGTACATGGTTATTGTCCTTCATTTAAAAAAGATAATAGCAAAGTTACTGTTCATTTAGATATGAATAAAAGGACTTGTTCATTTACTGTCAATGGTGTAAAATATGCTACGGTATCAGAATGGAATGAACTTCCATCAAAACTTTACCCTGTAGTTTCATTACATCATCATTGTCAATTTCGAATTCAGCTTCATTAATAAGAATATTATTTAATGTTGAATTACCAATAAAATTTTATAAAAGGAAATTTATTTTTAAGGTCAATTATGTAAACTTTCTTAAAATAAATTTCTCATTACATTCGTAAACATTTCTTTAAAGTATGGTATCTCATAATTAAAAAATGAGTATCGCGTGAAATTATGATCGTTATTCATTTAAAATTCATCGCTTCGTTATAAATCACACCACCTCATTCCGTCAATTTCTTCACTTTTTGGTTAAAATTTGTGATTGAAAAGTGTTAAGATAATTGCGTTAAATAATAGTTATAAATATTGAAATCTTCATATACGCACCTTTTCTATATAAAGAATTTTGACGCAATTAAACGCTATATTAAAAAATAAAATAACATTAAAGTGTGAGAGAAATATTGATTAATGGAGAATCTAAAGAAAACAGAAAAGTCAAAGTAAAGTGTTAATCCATGATATTTTACATAAATATTAATTTATTTGTTTAAATCAAAATTATACTACCACCAGATATTTCGAACAAGTACTTTGCTAACGTTCCATATAAATAATAATGTAGTGTATCTAATCTGAAATGATAATTTCGGATATTAACACGCCACAACAGTGTTATTGCTAACATTCAATCTATTGGTATTTATGCGGCTATAAGGGTTTATTCTATTGGGGAGTTATTATTAAATTTATTGAAACACTGGGCCTAACAAAATGCGGTGAGATTATAGGGTCGACTAGTTCCTATAGATTGTATCATATGTTTTGAAACGTAAATTTTATTCCTTTTTGTCCTGGAGGTCTGAAAACCCGTTAAAACTTGAAAAGTATACAGCCACGTGAAATACAAACAAGTTTTTAACTAAAATATAATAGTTATACTTCATTACAATATTATTCCGCAGCAAATTAGTTTACTTGCCGATTTATTCTCAAAAATGTATATTTTTGATCTGCATCTCATTCTTTTTGCATGGCGATCACACCTTAAACTAACAAATTGCTTCAATTTGTTGCCTTGAAAGATGCATACTTGGTTACTTATTTATTTAAGAATTTATTTAGAATTCTCATAATTGAAAATATGGACAATTTAAAATCATTATTTCATCTCTATCTATTTGCAAAATTATTGACGAAATGATGAAGTGAAGAGCATTTAATGAAAAAATTAAAATGGCGAATTTGATCATAATTTACTTTCTTATGCTTACAAATTATATATTACATAATCATTGGATGGTTATACACTCTCTCGCGAACACTTTATAAATTTTTTTTACGAATTATGGTTACTAACTTATCTTTATCTAAGCAATGGCAAATAGGCCAAGAGTTTTATCATCAAATAGTTGACGACCAAGGAAATGTTTTGGTTATACTTGAAGTATCTGCGGAGTTCACAAGTTATTTTTAATATAATGGATTGTAACTTAATTTTTAAAGTATAAATATCATACGGGAGCATTTCTATAAATAAATTTTATATGCCAAAATGATATTTAGGCCGAATTTTCAAATTTAACATTAACTTAATTTGATTTTCCCGGTAAGGGTCCCATATTATAATTGTAACCATAAACCATCTATTTTATCTGTAATAATCTGACTTTTTATAATATAAGTGTGTTTTTTTTTTTCTCTTTCGTAAAATATATTGGCCTTGAAATTTTCAACCATTCTTTAATTTAATTATATGCCATGTTAATTCATTATTCAAATTTAAAATCGAACGATGGAAGAAAGAATTAGAAAATAAATTTATTTATGTAGTATGTTACACTTTTAATGTATACGGAAAATTATTAATTATAATAGAAAATATTTACTTATATTAAACGTAGAAGCAAATTTCCATAAATTGCAATTTGACATTTTTCTTTCTGATCTATAAAATAATGAACCCATGTTCTTTTCCTAGCAACCGAAAGAGGAGTAATTATGAAGGCAAGATTGATGAAAATAGGAATTCGAGAAATAGGGATGGAATTGCCATTCCGTTTTAAAGAGAGTAATATAATATAATCACGAGACCAATATTTTATATTTTAACATTCATAGTATTTTTTCTTACAAATTTATAACCATTTTCATAATATATAAATATCAATGAATCCTTCCATCATCGAAGTTTCTTTTTCAGTAATGTAATTCGGTAATTGGATCATATTACATCATAAATTCTTATTAGTTTTGATAATGTATTTAAGACAATAATATTCCTGTAGGATGTTTGATTTATTTACGTTAAATTATCGTTTTCTAACATGTTATTTCAAAAGATAAAAAACAAATATATGGTAAATATATTTGGGAACCACTTCATCATATCGAAACATATAAGAAACAATCTCGTTGTACATATTTTTGTTTGTTAATTGATGCTTGAAAATATTAATGATTGCTGTGGGCGTATAGCATTATTTTATCTATAAGATATAATTAAAGAATTACTGGCAAGTACATATTAAACCATTGTTAACTTAAATTGAAGTTGACGTAAAGTGAGATTATGTAAAGTTTTGAAGGTTTTTTTATTTGTAATAAAATTATTCCTTGTATGTTCACTTTTCATGAGATAAATAGGTTCAAAGAAACATGAATCTAAAAAGCTTTATTATCTATTTTAGCAATATACGGTGTATTCATTATGCCTTATGCTAATCGCTTATCCGTTATATTATTTTCCTTAGAAGCTAGCATATCATATTTCGTTCATCATTGTACAAAGTTTTGATTTTAACAAAATTCTGTTAACTAGATGTAAATTAATCGAAAGAGCAGCTATCTGTCTCCAGAATGCATCGAACATG